GTCTCTCGCTGTGAGGAGGCTGTAGTGGGGGAGGTAGCAACGGCTACCAGCAGTGAGGTGCAGTCCAGCACCTGCTACAAGTGGCGAGTGGTTCACAGTAATGGAAGGCGCATCAGAGTAAGGAAAGTTAAGAGTGAAGATCTGAAGGTAGGAAATCGCTTCTCTGTTCTTCAGGATGAATGTACTTCAGTGGCCAGTGAAGGTAAGGGTACTACTGCCCCTGCTAATGGAGGTAAGCGCATTCTTGTGGTTGGTGACTCTCAGGTAAGATATATGGACCGTGCTTTTTGTAATAGGAATAAGAAGATGAGAGATAGAGTGTGCTTCCCTGGAGCTGGTGTTGGGGTCATTGTCAACAGGCTGGATAATATCATGTCAGGTAATGGGAACAAGCCCATTATCTGTCTCAGTGCTGGTGGAAATGATATTGGGAAGGGTAGGAGAGAAGAGCTGCTAGATAAGTACAGGTCAGCTATAGATTTCATTAAGTCTAAGGGAGGGATCCCAGTCATATGTAGCATCTTGCCTAGAAGGGGAGTAGGAAATGAATGGTTGTCTAGGGCAATTGGTGTAAATTGCTGGCTAGACAGATACTGCAAGGAACTTGCAATCCCATTCATTGACAACTGGAACAACTTTTATGGCAAACATGATATGTATGCAAGGGATGGGGTACATCTCTCTGGGGCTGGGGTGGTAGCACTTGCAGACTCGATTGAGAAGGCCATTGGTGAAATGCCTATGATTTTAAACTGATGGAAGATAGAGGTATGGGTGTGTGTGGGAAACAAGCAGGTTGCAACACTTGGGTTGGAAACAGTAAATGTAAAAAAAGGCATTCAGCATGAAGTTATAAATAAAGACAATAGATCAGGTCAGCAGACAAAGGGGACAGCAGAGGGCAGCAAGGGACTAGCTCCCTTAAGGTTTACTATACTAATAGCAGGGGTGTAAGAAATAAGATAGATGAGCTAAGATTAATTGCAAGTGCAGGAAACATAGATATTATTGCTATAACAGAGACCTGGCTCAATCTGAAAGATAGAGAGATGCCCTCTGAATGTCACATACAAGGCTATAAATTATTCCACACTGACAGGGTCAACAGGAAAGGTGGTGGAGTAGCGATGTATGTCAGAGACAATTTAAATTGTTGTGTTAGACAAGATATTAAATTAGAAGCGTCAGCCACTGAATCTGTTTGGTTACAGCTTCTCGAGGGCCGAGAAAAACTAATTTTGGGTGTGATTTACAGGGCCCCAAATCTTGATAGGAGTGCAGTAAACTTCTATGGGACGAAATTCGGAAGGCATCTACATACGAAAATGTTGTGCTAATGGGAGATTTCAACTATAGACAGATTGACTGGAGCAATTTGACAGGAAATTTAGAATCAGGTGACTTTCTTGATACGATGCAGGATTGTTTTTTAAAACAGTTTGTGACAGAGCCAACTAGGGAAATAACCTCCTTGACTTGGTTCTTGCCAGTAGGGAAACACTAATTAATAATCTTGAGGTTAATGATGAGCTTGGGGAAAGTGATCACAAATCACTCAGTTTTAATAAATCATGGAATTCCCCTAATAATGGCAATCAAGTCTCCGTCCCTGACTTTCGCTTGGCTGATTTCATAGGACTGAAAAATTACTTAGGTGGGCTGAACTGGAATGACCTGACTAAGGGTCAGGTAGGTGGTGATGGTTGCCGATATGATGCTTTCCAGGGCATAGTTCTAGCTGCTCAGTCAAATTATGTTCCAAATAGGGAAATCAGATCAAACAAAAATGATCCTAAATGGATGAACAATAGATTAAAATATCTGATTGGTCAAAAGAGAGGCATATATAGGCAAATCAAAAAAGGAGAGGGGCAATTGAGAAATCGATATATTCAGTTAAAGAGAGAAATAAAAAAGGGAATTAGAAAAGCAAAAAGAGATTATGAGGTTAAAGTTGCAAGAGAATCGAAGACTAACCCAAAAGGATTCTTTCAGGTATACAGAAGTAAGATCAGGACAAGATAGGCCCACTCAAAAGTTCCTCGGTCAGCTCACTGACAGTGATAAGGAAATGTGTAGAATTTTTAACACATACTTCCTCTCAGTTTTTACACAGGAGGATACCAGCGATATTCCAGTAATGATAAATTATGTAGAACAGGACGATAATAAACTGTGCACTATTAGGGTCACAAGTGACATGGTCCTTAGGCAAATAGATAAATTAAAACCTAACAAATCCCCAGGCCCTGATGAACTGTATGCAAGGGTTCTAAAGGAATGTAAAGAGGAGCTTAGCACCCCTTTGGCTAATCTTTCAACATATCACTACAAACTGGCATGGTGCCAGATAAGTGGAAAATGGCAAATGTGATACCTATTTTCAAAACAGGTGACAGGTCCTTAGCTTCGAACTATAGACCAATAAGCCTAACCTCCATAGTGGGAAAATTTATGGAATCAATAATTGCCGAGGCAGTTCGTAGCCACCTGAAAAGCATAAATTAATCAACGAATCTCAGCATGGTTTTACAAAGGGGCGTTCCTGCCTTACGAATTTATTAACTTTTTTCACTAAGGTATTTGAGGAGGTAGATCATGGTAATGAATATGATATTGTGTATATGGACTTTAGTAAGGCTTTTGACAGGTCCCACATCAGAGACTATTGAGGAAAATTAAAGCACATGGAATAGGAGGAGAAATTTTTCCTGGATAGAGGCATGGTTGACAAATAGGCAGCAGAGAGTTTGCATAAATGGGGAGAAATCAGAGTGGGGAAGTGTCACGAGCGGTGTTCCACAGGGTCAGTGTTGGCCCCCTGCTGTTCACAATCTACATAAACGACATAGATGAGGGCATAAAGAGCGACATCGGCAAGTTTGCCGATGACACCAAAATAGGCCGTCGAATTCATTCTGACGAGGACATTCGAGCACTCCAGGAAGATTTGAATAGACTGATGCAGTGGTCGGAGAAGTGGCAGATGCAGTTTAATATAGACAAATGCAAAGTTCTAAATGTTGGACAGAACAATAACCATGCCACATATAAACTAAATAATGTAGATCTTAATATTACGGATTGCGAAAAAGATTTAGGAGTTCTGGTTAGCAGTAATCTGAAACCAAGACAACAGTGCATAAGTGTTCGCAATAAAGCTAATAGAATCCTTGGCTTCATATCAAGAACCATAAATAATAGGAGTCCTCAGGTTGTTCTTCAACTCTATACATCCTTGGTTAGGCCTCATTTAGATTATGCTGCACAGTTTTGGTCACCGTATTACAGAATGGATATAAATTCTCTGGAAAATGTACAAAGGAGGATGACAAAGTTGATCCCATGTATCAGAAACCTTCCCTATGAGGATAGACTAAGGGCCCTGAATCTGCACTCTCTAGAAAGACGTAGAATTAGGGGGGATATGATTGAGGTGTATAAATGGAAGACAGGAATAAATAAAGGGGATGTAAATAGTGTGCTGAAAATATCTAGCCTAGACAGGACTCGCAGCAATGGTTTTAAGTTGGAAAAATTCAGATTCAGGAAGGATATAGGAAAGTACTGGTTTGGTAATAGAGTTGTGGATGAGTGGAACAAACTCCCGAGTACAGTTATAGAGGCTAAAACGTTGTGTAGTTTTAAAAATAGGTTAGATAAATACATGAGTGGGTGTGGGTGGGTGTGAGTTAGACCTGATAGCTTGTGCTACCAGGTCGGTTGCCGTGTTCCTCCCTTAAGTCAGTGTGACCTGACCTGACTAGGTTGGGTGCATTGGCTTAAGCCGGTAGGAGACTTGGACCTGCCTCGCATGGGCCAGTAGGCCTTCTGCAGTGTTCCTTCGTTCTTATGTTCTTATGTTCTTATGTACCGCTAGGTGTTGTGTGTATGATAATCCCTCTGGAGCAGGGTTTAGATAGCGAGCCACCAGTGACCGCAGGGCCGGCTCTACCACTCAGACTTCCCGCCAACCACAACACAGGTGATTTGTACGTTACTCAGAGGGGACATCCATCCAGATACCTGATGTACGATGCTCGCTGTACGATGCTCGCTGTACGATGACTCGTACACCTCGCCCTTCCGCCGCTGACTTCTTCGGCTATTCTTTTCTCGTTGCCCTTTTGAGTCCTCATTTACCACACTTATCACTTGTATACTGCTACTTTTATAATTTACGCTTCACTTTTGGTAAGTACACTACTTATTTGTGATGACACCCAACCTGTTATGGCGGTGCTACTCCCTCAGGCCTACTGCTGCCACCACCTCTGCTTATATATATTTATGTATATGTATGTATATATATATATATCCCCTTTCTGGCTAGCTTGTTCACGCTGTGTGCTACATCACATTTTGTCGTTACCACCCTCTCTTAATTCTATTTGGTCTTTTCTCTTTAGTCACTCGCTTTGTACTTTGTATATGTGTAACAATGTGGCAACAGGTGCCAACTAGGCCTCAACGAACTGGCACTTTGAAATTTTGTTGTATAATTTCAGGCTATCTCTCGCCTTTACTTTATATATTTTTGCTAATACATTGGTTATCACTTGTAGGGTTGTTCACTGACGTTGTCACTAACACTGGTTGCTTCTAGCTGCTAAAACACGCCCTAAATGCACTAAGATCCTCGGAGCCTGGCGCTTGTGATTCGATCCCCGGTACAGGTGAAAACTTTAGGACATGTTTCAATAAGACATCTGCTGTCCCTGTTCAGCTATCGGTAAGTAGGTACTTGGGTATTAGGCGACTAGTTTGGGTCTTATTCTGAAGACAAAACTGACCTAATTTTCCAAAAATGCTCTGAGCAACAAGTGGCTTTCTATAAAGTTTCTCAATGATGTCAGCTATGATCTTTTTACATTGTACATGTACTTGTAGAAATAACGATTATTATTATTATTATTATTATTATTATTATTATTATTATTATTATTATTATTATGAATGAGCCCAGACTGCAGTTCAGGCTGATACAGAAATAAACTCACCAAGAATGTCTTGTTGAGGAAGCCACTTGCTGATCATAACGTTGTTAGAAATATCTTGCAGCTCTCCTTCGTATTTCCAGATGACTCGCTGCAGCAGCTTACGGAAAGCCTGGATGAAGAGGTCAAGATATTGGGTTGGCATTGAGGTGCCGCGAGTGAAAGACCCCAAACTAAAGTAGATGACGCCAGCAGATCCTGCTCCTGTGATCCACGACTCCAGTTCCTGTAAGAAACACTCGTCCTGTAACTTATTTTGCTTTAGTGTGAAGTATTTGTTCAATAATGGAACACAAACACAGGCAAAAAAAAAAAATAGCAACAGGATAAACAAAACCAGAACAGAAGTGACAAAACATTTGGTTCAGGTAGTCAGGACAACTCACCTGTGGCAGGGAGTTGCCGGGGCGACAATGCATGGCGCCCACCTCCACCTGTGAGGGCAGGAGAGGCAGTGGTGTGTCAATAGCGAAGTGGGTGTTAAGCAGTGCTAGACTCATATTCCTCTCCAGGTCCAGCAACGAAGGCAGCTCCGGGAACTGAGGTGAAATCTGGAGAATATCAACAGCATTTTACTCAACACATGTCTGAGGCTTGCGATAGAAGTATTCCCAAATAATTAATTTCAGAGCTATCACTTTCCCAACAGTATAATTTTCAGATACACTAGCTGCACTAAGATAGAATTCTGACTGTGGTCACATGCTCACCTCTTTCTGTATAAGTGGCACAATGGCCCAGTTCCGCCAGTACAACACCATTCCTATGAGAATCAGGGTGTTGCATAAGCGATGCCACATACTCATGGGTTTTGGGAAGTCATACAAGGGATTAGAGACGTAGGCCGGGTTTAAGACATTTCCTAAGACGGCGCTGTGACGAGGGTCCATCCCTGGCGTAGCGAGGGTGATGAAGGGAACCTCGTAAAGGAAGGGATATGCAACCTGCAGGAGAACCGGTTCTGTGAGTCATGACTGATTAAGTGGTGATACAATGATCAAAATTTGTAAATCAGGGAATGGGTGGGCCTTGAACTAATGGCGGACCCTAAAACTCACATGCCATGAATTTTATGACATTCAGCTGGCCCAGTGGTTAACACACTGGATTTGAATGCACAGGGAACCTATGCTTTCAAGTTCCACAGGTTCCCAGTTTTGTTTACAATTGTATTATGATTTCATGTGTTGCCTAAATATGTATAAAATAAAAGTATTAGCATGTAAATATCGTCTATGTTACAGGCAATATTTTTAAAATGAAAATATTTAATTATTTTCATATTAAGTATCGGTTGCTATCTAAGTACTCCTCGGAACGTATGTACACATACAGACGCATGCAGGCACATATGCGCAATCACACACAAACACACTTCTATTGTGTTGCATTATGTATAAATACACACACACACACACACACACACACAGTGGGTGCAGACGTGGGTGACAAAGCTCTGAGAACCTTAGTGTTTTTAAGGAGTGCAGTAATTGCTAGCAGTAATCAGTGGTAGTGACAACATCAGTGAACAATCCTATGAGTGATAACTAAAGTTATTAGTTAAAAAAAAAAGCAGAGAGGAAGCCTGAAATCATTAATATTTCCAAGTGCCAAACCGTTGTGGGTCTAATAGGCACTGTTGCCACACAGATTCAAACATACAAAGATCAAAGTGATTGTGGAAGCGGGTGTTGAAGAATTACCAACGTTTGGTTAACAAGTGAAATGTGGGGCACCATACAGTGAGAGTGAAAAAGTTAATAAGCAAAAGGAGAAAGGAAAAATAAAATATACAGCAAGGGAAGGTGGCAGTAGTAGGCATGCTGAGGCAGTGACGTCACAACAAGTTGTGTGCCATTATACATAAAAAGTGAAGTGTATATAATGTGAAGTGTATACTATCATAAGTGAAAAGTGAAATTGCATGAGGAACGCGGGATGTATGAGCATATATGGTCATAAACATCATGGGTAAAGGATCTCCAAAATAGTGATTTAAGGCCTATGTACGATGACTACATCATCAGCATCTGGCAACTTGTCACCGCACCGCAGCCAGCGCAAGTATTACTCATCTATTGTGGTTGCATGTTGCAGGCTCTGGATTCTGGTCTTGCATCACTATTAGATATTGGTCACTCACTCCTGCAAGCTATTACCAGAATTAGAGTAGAAATAGCATAGATAAAGTGATGATAGTGTTGACGAGAGTGTGAGGACAGCAGACTAGCGAGGGATAGCATAGTATTACTACCGGTAGTTTTTAGCAGTATGAATACTTTGGAAGCTAGGAAGTCCTCTCTCAATGTGAACAAGGAATATGATAATAACCAGCAGTAATTGATACTTAAATCCAGAAAGGGCAATAAGTGGAGAGAGTAGCATTACTAGGAAAGACAGCTGGGACTAAATTTGAGCCTACACGACAGAGAGGTATAACGGATCTTTCAACCACAACCCTACCCCCCTAACCATCTCTCCCCCCCCACACACACAAAGGTAGACACTCATAGAAGCCTTAGACCCTAGTAGCAATTTCTGCTTTTTATAACTCAGAATTGCTGGTATGCATTAGCAGTATCTCCCACCCAGACCTCCCCCATACACACAAACACACACATATACACACATACACACACACACCTGCACTAGGCGAATACACACACACACACACACACACACACACACACACACACACAGGGCCAGGAGCTATGACTCGACCCCTGCAACCACAAATAGGTGAGTAATAGGTGAGTACACATACACACACACACACACACACACACACACACACACACACACACACACACACACACTCGTAGAGGAGTCACGCGGTTTGAGCTTGTGCTTTGGTGGTAATTTCTGACTCTACCATAAGGAATAGAGTGTGGGATATATGCATGTGCACGCATAAGAGTGAATATAACCACTTAAGCCCTGAAAAAAAGAAAATATAAGTGATCACAGAAAAGCAAACATAGAAAATAGGGGGAAAACTATGGGGGGGCCCTTTTGGAAAGGGGAAGGGGGAAGGGTTGTTTTCACCCCTTTAAATAGGGTTGTCTTAAAAACGCAGTGGCGTATTTGAAGAATAAGTGTGTTTTCAAGAAAAGGGAGATTAAAAAGATATTTTTTTTGATTTTGCAGAAAATTTACAGTGGTAAAAAAAAAATTTAGAGGAGTTAGAGGACTACAGTGCCTACGGGGAAAGTTAGTGGAAAAATTACCGAGAAGCTCAAGCTTTTAACTACTGGGACCCGGGAGGGACGACAACTTTACCCCACTGCCGGGGCCGCACGTAAATTTTTAATTTATTTTGAGTTGCAGGGGGTTGCCCCAAGTCCTAGGGGGAAAAATTGGGGGTCATCCCCTGAGCTATCAGAGCTGGGAATAACCCGCATTTTATGGAAATTTAATAAAATTTTATTGAGGTGTGGAGAGTTAAGCAGTTAAGGGAAAAGGTGGGCCTATTTATGAGAGTTTCCTAAAAAACCAAACTTTACAGAATTGAACGTAATTTTAGGCCCCAAGACATTTACAGTGGGAAAACCAAGAAAATTGGGGGTAATATTTTAGTACATACGAGGGAAAAAAGGGGTGCTTACTAAACCCCGGGCAACAACATATAAACACACAAAAAACCACACATCACAAACCCAAAAACCAAAACACACAACACCACACACGCACACACACACACCACACACAAAACACCCAACCACAACCACCCCGAAAACTGTAGGCTCTTTGTTGTGGGGTGCGTTTTTTTTTTTTTGGTTGCCCCCGTTTTATATTTCGGGGTGGATGCTGGCCCCCTGCGGTTTAAAATTAAGAAATTTCCCGCAGTGAGAAAGGTGAGGAAAAGGGGTTTAAAAGGACGAATTGAGAGGGGGAAGGGAGATAGGCTAAAAAAAAAAAGGGGGGAAAGGGGGAAACTGGGGAGGAGATGATGAGTTTAAAAAGGGAAGAGGGAAAGGGAGGGTTTTAGCGCAGAATGCAAAATGGGGGAAAGCAACAGGCCACAGAAGCAGAAAAAAAAAAGGGGATAAAAGAAAAAAAAATTGGGAAGAGGGGCGGGAACATCGAAACAGCAACCGGGGGAAAAGGAAACAAATTTTAGAAGGGCCGGGAAAACCAGGGGCCAAAAAAAAGGGCGGGGGAAGATTAAACCAAAAAAAAAAACCTCTCCCCCCCCCCAAAACCAACCCCCTTGGGAAAGAGGGGTTTGGGAAAGACATCGAAGGAACTAGGAAAATGTGCAAGGCCCCCTTACCAAAACCCTGTGGGGGCCCGGGGAGCAGGTGAGCAGGAAGGAAAAAACCAAGAAGATGGGGCCATCCCGGGGGAAAAGGGAGAAGGGAAACACTCCACGGGAAGGAACTTAAAACAATCAGAGGGGTGCAATGGGAGTCACAGTGGGAGGTGGGGAAAAGGGGGAGGGTCCCTGTTTGCTGTGGGCCCCACGGAAACTAAAGGGGAAAAATTATGATGAAAGAAAGCAGGAGGAGAAAAAAACGATGATGACTCCCTGAAGGGTGATAGGCCAGGGGGACATTTACCCAGTTTGGGAAATTTTTTGGGGAAATTTGGGGGGTTTTACAAAAAAAAAGGAATCGGCCTTTAAAAATTTAAATTTTTAAAGGGAAAATTTCCCCCCCCATGATCCGGGAGGGAGAAACCGGTGAGAGGCAAACAGGAGTTCCCGGGGTGTGTTAAACCCCGACCGGGGACCGGGAACCCCAGGACCCAAAAGGGAAGGGGAAAAGAAAGAGGAGTTCCCAAAAAAAAGGGGAAAAAGGGAGGAAATGAAAAGGAGAGCGAATAAACCCGGGGTCAAATGGAAGGACAAACGCACCCCCAGGGAAAACCCCTGCCCGAAGGACTCCCAGCCACGACCCCCCAAAAGGGAATGAAAAAATCCAAAAACCCTCACACACCCCATCCCCCGTTTCCACCCCCCCCCACGTTACAGTATTAGAACGAAATTGGAAGGGTTTTGGTTTTTTTCACAAATGCAGATGGATTAACGAATAAAAAATAGGAATTGGGAAGAAAGAACAATGGGGAAGTCCCCCGACTCCTAGCGTTACAGAAAACAAAAAAATCATGGAGACATTTTCAGATGCAATTTCCCCCAGGATACCGATCTTGGGGGAAAAATTTGAAGGGGCAGGGGGGGAGGTGGGGTTTCTCTGGTGGAAAAAACAGAAGGGGAAAAAAGAGGGAAAAGGAAAAGGAAAAGATGAGGGCGGGGAAAGAGGGCTACCCTTGCATGTACACTTCAGTCGGGGGAACACAAAAGTGGTCATTGCAGTGATGTATAAACCACCACGAAAATGCAGGAGGCCCAAAAGAAGGGGAAAATGAAAAAGGGGCAAAAAAGGCAATGGGGAACACTTTCGAGGTGGCAAGAAGAGCTACTCCAGCAGAGCAAAGTTGTGGGGTTTTGGGGGGGTTTCAAACCCCAGGGGGGATTGGGCTGGGTTTAAAAATGGAGCCACATGGGGGTCCCGAAAATTTTGGGGGCCAGGATGTTGGGACGTGGTGCTGGAAAACCTCATGCACCAAAAATGTTAAAGGGCCCCTCCAGAGTGGAGGGGGGGGATGAACCCGCAAGATTGGACCCTTTTGTTCACCCGGGCAGCTCAGGGCATTGAGGACATTTAAATATGAAGGGCCCCCAGGAGGGTAGCGACCACGTGGTTCTGTGCTTTGAATTTCATAGTGAGCTGCCCAAATGGAGAGAATAAAGGAGTAGGGAAAGGGGAAAAACTGGGCTTTAAAAAAGGGGACTACATAGGGTTGGGAAAAAACTTCCTGCGGGAGGTCCAGTGGGGCAGAGAATGGCAGGAAAAAACCCGTAAATTTAAATGTGGAAAAATGTAGCAACAAATGCAAGGAGGCGGGTGGAAAGGTTCATTCCCAAAGGGCAAAAAGTAACAAAAGGGAAGGGCCCCGAAAAAGCCCCCCGGGTTTACCCCCACCCGGTTTTAAGGAGGCAAAAAAAAAAAAGTTTAATAGGGGAAAGGGAAAAAATACAGAAAAGGGAGAGAAAAAACACGAAAAAAGGGAGATCAGTCGCAGAGCCAGGGAAAGAG